AAATGTCAAGAAGGATTCAGTGGGAATCTTACTTGAAGAACTAGATACTCAAGTCGAAAGAAAAGTTCAACAAGAGGAAGTTATATATTAACCAGGTACAAGCAAACCTCAGATAACAAGACATGTGCCTGCAAGGTTGGAAGATTATGTGATTACATCATATGATGTGGTCAATGATGAAGGTTAGGTGGTACATTATAATTTCTATGCAGATGTTGAACCAGTCTATGTAGCTAAAGCATTGAAGGATTTGAAGTGTGTGAAAGCAATGAATGAAGAAGTGAAGTCGATCGAAGACAACAACACCTGGTCACTTGTCGAATCGCCTCAAGGAAAAAAGGAAATCGATGTGAAGTGGGTATACAAGGTGAAGTTTAATCCCAAAGGGGAAGTAACTCGACACTAGACAAGACTTGTGGCGAAAGGATTTCTTTAGAAGGAAGGAATTGACTTCGATGAAGCATTTGCACCTGTGGCTAGCATCGAAATAACCAGATTGGTTGTGGGTCTAGCAGAAATGAACAATTGAGACATATCATATGAATGTAAAATGTGCATTCCTGAATGGATCCTTAGATGAAGAAGTCTATGTTGCATAACTAGTTTGGTTTGTGAAGAATGGTGAAGAGAGAAAGGTGTGAAGCAAGCTCTAAGAGCTTGGAATAAGAAGATAGATAGCTTTCTAAAGGAGAAGGAATTTGTGAAGTGTACAAATGAACATGGAGTATATGTAAGAAGAAGCAATAGTGAATTGCTTATACTATATCTCTATGTTGATGATTTGTTGATAACAGGTAGCTTCAAAAGTGAGATCAAAGACTTCAAAAGTGATCTCAGCAAGGAATTCGAAATGTCTGATCTGGATGACATTTCATATTTCCTTGGCATTTAATTCTACAAGAACGGTAGAGGTTTGATGATGCATCAAAAAAGATATGCAAGTGAAATTCTCAAGAGATTTGAGATGGAAGAGTGCAAATCGACTTCGACACCTACAGAACCAAGACTGCAACTGTCAAAAGATGCGGAAAAGGATGATGTCGATCCAACCCAATACAAAAGACTTATTGGGTCATTGAGATACCTTTGTCATACAAGGCCCGACTTAGCATACAATGTAGGTATGATAAGTAGATTCATGCAGAAGCCAAAGGAGTCACACCTAGCGGCGACGAAGAGGATACTGAGGTATCTGAAAAGAATTCTTGACTATGATTTGTTTCATACAGCTGATAAAGAAAAAGAATGCAACTTATTTGGATACTTTGATTCAAGTTGGTGTTGTGATGGTAAGGATCGAAAATCCACAGCAGAATATGTGTTCATGCTAGGTGGTGTACTAGTTGCTTGGAGTTCGAGAAAAGAACAAGTAGTGACATTATCATCATGTGAAGTAGAGTACATAACTACTTCTCTTTGTCCATGTCAAGCAACATGGATGGTGAACTTGGTCAAAGATATTACAGGTAAAGATCATGGAGTAATTACCATGAAGATTGACAGTATGTCAGCTATCAACCTGACGAAGAATTCGATAGCACATGGTTGAAGAAAGCACATCAAGATGAGGTTCCATTATCTTCGAGAGCAGGTCGCAGAAGGAAATATGAACTTGAAATACTACAGAACTGAGAATCAGATTGCAGACATCATGACAAATTGTGTGTAGGTCAAAGTATTCAGAAGACTAAGAGCTATGATGAATATAGATAGCTTAGACACAATGAATTAAGCGGTGTGTTAAATGTGTAATTTCTTGTGTCGAAGGAGGATGTTGCTCGACACAAGGTGTGTCGAAACACCGTGTATGTATGTGTGTCAAATTAATCTAGATAGTGTGTCGAAGCAGTTGTTTCACGCATATTTGATTTAGTTCTAAAATAGATATTTTGGGCTTTTATAGTTTTGAGCTTTTTGGCTTAGAGAGCAAGTTAACCTAAAGCTATAAATAGAGGGAGTAGTCTTTATTCTTGTATTCATTTATTCACGGTGTTTGCAGTTGTAAGTGAATTAAAAAAATTTACAGTTTGTGGGTAGAGAGTTACTCTGCAGAAATTCTAATCTTTTTCTTCTTTAAATTTCTTTTTTTCTTTTCATCATTATTGTGTGAGTGATTTTAATCTTATTCATAAAGATTGATGGAAGTTCATCATAGTTTTTGATAGATTTCTAACACAGTTAGAAATTTCCATTCTTTCAAGAACTTATATCGTTAAAAAAAAACAATCTAATTAGTTAACAGAATGTCACTTAATTATAATATTAAGTTATAGTTTCACAAAACAATCTATATTAATAAGATTTTGTGTGAAATAATTAAATTTAATATTTTGTTTAGATAAATTATAGAAATTTTAATTTTAATTCTTTACTATATAACGATTAGAGATGACAACGGGCACTCGTAGACATGAGTACTAATTTTCCAATATCCATCTCATTTAATAAATATGATATCCATATTCGTCTCATACTCGTGTGGATATCTGTTAGACATCCACAAAAATATATATATTTCAAATTTATATATTTTTTAAAATATATACAGATGTCCATAAAAATATATATATTTTTTAAAATATTTAATAAACCAATTTTTTTATCCTTTTTAAAGCCAACAAAATAATTTCAAATTTAATAATAATAATAATAATAATAATAATAATAATAATAATAATAATAATAATAATAATAATAATAATAATAATAATAATAAAATAAATAAATCGCATTCACTCTATTTCTTCATTTTACAAATAATTATATTGTACTCAACAAAATAATACTAGTTTCATATTCAACAAAATAATAATAATTATTATTATTATTTTAGATTAAATAAATTAATATTTAAGTAATTTTATTAATTATTAATGGATATGGATACTCGTGGATATGGATACCATCAAATTCATATTTATATCGGTAAGTAAATGATTTACTAAATATCTATTTATTTTATCTGTAAATGCTCATTAACACATGTTACTCATGACCGTGACATGTTTTACTTGTAGATATTCACGAATACGATTTTTTATCACCCCTGATAGCGATGCTTCTTCATAGAAAATTTTTCTCTCCGAATATACAATTTTGATTTTAAAGAAACAAATTCAAAGGATGTAGCATAGAGGAATGATTATTTCTAAAACAAACAATAAAAAGTAAGAACATACGTAAATATAATATAGATAAAATAATTTGTATAAAAATGATTAAAAAACAAAATTTTAATGTAAAAAGTTATTTTAGAAAATAAGTAAAAAAAAATATTGTAGAAAAAAACTTATTAATTTATTAAAAAATTAAAAAATAGGCGGACAAGTCCACTGTCCACCAATCCATCACTTTGACGGGACAGATTAGATTTTGAAGTTCAATTTCATTTGGCGGACTTGCTCTTTTCACATTTTTTGACGGATTTAAGATGGGACAGATCAGAACGGACGACCAGTTTTACTATCCCTAAAAAAATAGAGAAAATTTTAATATTTGAAAAAAAAATTGTTTAAATAACAAAATAATATTTATCATTAATATATTTTTAATTTTTAAAATATTATAATAATAAAAATTATATTTGAACGATTTATCTAAGTACTCCGAAACACTCTTTCAATACAAATTTCGAGTTCCTTCAAATTAAAGAATTTTTGATATTAGAAAAAAAAAATCCTTAAGAACCTTTCCGACCAAAATCTTTCTATTTTTATTCACACAATCTTTTTTATTTTTCAAAACCCCTCCATCTCTTCTCCTCCAAACTCCAAAAGAAAACCTTAGTGTCTTATATCTCTCCTACATATATGCGAGGAATCACGCTAACAGCTCCTACACGAAATATACCATCTATAGGCTTTATTATAAGTCTATTTTCAAACACTACACATCGATACTCTTTATTTATACTTGTTGATCAATTTTTTTGTGCAAGATAATTTATGATGACGATGGTATATCTACATTATTAAATAACTTGCGCAAATTGCTTGAGCTCAATTATCTAGTATATGTAGAAACTAGTGTAAAATGTTTAATCATGAGTTCGACTATATAGAGACTACTTTGAATGATACATACACATTTACACTTTTATGTTACGTAATCTTCTACGTTTTATCTTCATATTACATTAACACTTTAACATATTAGAGTTTCTTATTTAGCACTTATTGATAATGGAAAATTGAAGATGAGTATTTTGATAGGCACTATAATCGTTAATAGATCTAATAGTGATTAGCATTGGACTTGATAGAGAGAATTACGGATTATCCCCATAACTACAATCAAGAGGGGGCTAAAACCATTTGATGTCAAAACTGACCTCCGAACCAGACTATACCAGAGAGGAAAAAAAGTACAAATAAATTTGTATAAAATGTTATGCTTTCATTACATTTAGAAGAGAAGCACTAGTCAATAATTGTGTATTATTCTAAGGTTTTAACTAACCATGTTTCATTATCCAATCAACAATCAACTCCAACATTCTTGTATATTTCAGGACCACTAAACCAAACAACAAACTCACCATAAAATTAGTTACAACATACTTGTAAATTTTACACAAACATTCAACCATTAGCCATCTTATCATATCAGATTATTTCTTCAAACGTGTGTTCTACACTTCTACAAAGATAAGATGGTGAAATATAAATAAACCGTAAAGCTTAACTTTACATCGTTAATCTATAGTTATTAAACTTCAAAAAATGTCACTGCTTAAATTTCTATATTAATGTGCAAACAAACCATCTATGGTTTAAAATAGAAACGGAATGATATGCTGTAACACAGCATCATAAACTTTAATTAGTATCCTAATCTTGTTTTTGCTTCAGCAAACAAGCTCGAAGAAGCCATTACATACCATGTGAAACAAACCAAAAATCAAACTGCCAAAACAAATTTACATAGTTTCCACCATCAACTTTGGTATATAGAATCTCCAGGTAATATTACCCTTCACCAATGCAGCAAAAATGACAGAATCACCGGTTTTTGAAAGAATCCATTTTTTGGGGAAGGTCCTTAAGCTGCTCAGCAAGTTCTTGTCGCTTCTGAATTGCTGCCACAATAACATGAGGGTCAGATTGATGTGTTCACATGGTCAGTATAAGGAAATCCATTTTTCCTACCTTTTTTTGAAATATCTTCGATATTCTTTGATGTCCTCACTGCAAACCTCTGAAATGCAGGACTGCAAAACCAGTGAAACATTAACATGAGAAACATGGTGGAAAGCAAACAAGAACTATGCGGTTACCACATAAAATGAATTTCTCTTAACTACTCAAGATGATACAAAAGCAAGAAAACCTAGCCAATAAACACCTGAAATGTCATTAGTATAAAATAAACAATAAGTCTCACCGGTCAAACAAAATTCTAAATATTTGACAAACATGATTCTAAATTAACTTGATTTCGTTAAAGACTAAAAGTTAAATTTGAAGCCAAGTGATTTTTGTTTGAATGTATTTACTTTAGAATCAAATTTTGCATAAAACTTTATTTAAATTTTTTAACCAAATGTTATAAGTTACTGCTTTTAATCAAAAAGAAGACTCGAAACATACTTAATTTAGACATATTAACACCAAACGTGTCTTTTTTTAACAAAAACATGTTTGTCCCATGTAAAAGCAAGTTGAGGAAACTGAGACAATCCCTCCATGGGTTTGGAATGCTGGGAAAGACCCTTCATCGCACGGAGAAAAAACAGTGCTGGATATTGGTTGATATACAGTGATTACAGACAATGGAAAATATTATATTTCCGATTTTATTATTTCTTTTATGGGACTACATTTATTTTTCTTTATTTTCCATTATTCTCTATTAAAGAGAAAATTAGATGTATTGATTGTATCTTCTCTATATAAACCAGTCTAAGATTGAGGAATAAAACACAACAGTTTTTACTTATTTTTTCCAATATGGTATCGAGAGCACTCGGTTAGGGGTTACTGTAAAGCTTTCCACAACTAGTGGCGTAGCCTTAGAAAAAATTTATGTTCGACCTGCTTTCTTATCCGACCCATTCCACATATCCGTTTAACCTCCTATGGAGGATAACAACAAGAGGTGGTCTTACCCATCAAAAGCCTACACCGGATCCAACCAAGGCGAACAACCGCAACTTAAGTCGGGCGGTGGCCGCAGAAACGGCGGTGGCTGCGGAAACGATGGGAAAGTTGTTGATTTGCAAACTCACATGCTTCACATTTAAAAGAAGAAAAGTTCTTATTATGAAATAACAAAGGAAACAAATGTTTTAAGTAACGAAAATTAGGGTGACCTAATCTTAAATACCATACCATACCATAATGTTGTCATCTTTATTATTCAAAACAGAAAAAGACTCAAAGCATGAATTTATTGTTTTTTAAGGTTGTTGTGATGCGGATCCAATGTCAAGGTAGTAGGGTCCTCCACTCTCCTTGGCACTGCTTGTTTATTTTGATGACATTGTCCTTACTGGAGATGATACAGTGGAAATGGCAAGAATAAAAGAGAAATGGCAGTTGACTTTGAAATCAAGGACTTGGGATTCATGAGATATTTTCTAGGTATGGAGGTTGCTCGGTCAAAGAATGGTATTGTGGTTTCGCAACAGAAATACATTCTAGACTTGTCGAAAGAAACAGGAATGAGTGGATGTCGTCCTGTAGATACCCCTATGGATCCTAATGCTAAACTTTGGGAAGAAGGTAATGTTCCGGTTGATACTGGAAGATATTAGAGATTGGTTGGGAAACTGATTTATCTGTCACAGCTGATCTGATATTGTTTTTTCAGTTAGTGTAGTGAGTCTTTATGCATTCTCCTTTCGAAGAACATCTTGAGACAGTCTATAGGATACTGAGATATTTGAAGGGAAATTCTGAAAAAGGATTATTTTTTAAGAAGACCAGTGAAAGAAATGTGTCTATCTTAACCAATGCTGATTGGACAGGTTCAATCACAGATAGAAGATCAATCTCTAGATATTGTAACTATGTTTGGGGTAATCTTGTGACATGGAGGAGCAAGAAACAAGGAGTTGTAGCAAGAAGTAGTGCAGAAGTCGAGTTTAGAGCTATGTCTCAAGGTATTTGTGAAGGATTATGGATCTTAGAATCCTAGATGAACTTAAGATAAAAATTGAGTTTCCATTGAAATCGTACTCTGACAGTAAAGTTGCTATCAGCATTGCTCATAATCCAGTTCAACATGACATGATCAAGCATATCGAAATTGATCGACACTTCATAAAAGAGAAGTTAGAGGACTACTTTTATTTTTCTTTATTTTCCATTATTCTCCATTAAAAAGAATATTAAATATATTGATTGTATCTTCTCTATATAAACTAGCCTAAGACTGAGGAATAAAACACATCAGTTTTTACCCATTTTTTCCAATACAAAGCTTTCGGAATATTAAATTAATAGAAATGTATAAGGAGTAGAAAGAGAGAAGAGAAAGGTAGTTACAACTGATTTTGTATTTCTCAAAGTTAGTTACATCTCAAGTTAGGATTGAGTTTATATAGTGAGGTTATGCAGTCTAAACTTAACAGTTTAGCTGCTTACAAATATATTCCTCAGTCTATCTCTACTATGCTATATTTGTATTACTCTAATATAAATTATTTTTTAATTAATATAATAAACAATATGAACAATAATTACTTCCAATTGAAACTACAAGACTATATGTTGTTGTTATAGTTAATACATTGTTAGTTTCATTATAACATAGTATTCAAGAGCACTTTAAATATTTAAAATGCAACAGGCAAAGTATTGAGTAGACTAATCAAAGTCCGAAGCTTATTTATAATTTTCAGAAGAGAAGCAATAAGAGAAGTAAGAGAATTGGAGACAAGCCTTAAAACACATGACTTTTTCTTATGTAGGAGGAGTATATATGGAATGCAGGTTTAGCAAAGATACATAAATCCTAACACGGAGATAAAAATTGGAGAACATGCATCTCATGTGTTCGGTACCTTTGGTCCAACCTTCAATGTAGTCAAACAACAAATAGCCATTAAGAACATGAACTTATAGCATGTTTGGTAATGCATTTCAATCACTAATACCGTGTCCCAGCTACAATTTTGAAAAACTATATATCTTAGCTTCACTCTAAATGCACGGCTACATACTTTTCAATGTGGAAACAAACAAACACTTTTATTAGAGAGAGCATTAGGGTAGCTCCTATTGTAGAACATGTAGAGTAGCATCTTAGGTGGTTTGGACATGTAATTAGAATAACAATAGAAACACATGGAAAGAGGGTTGATCAAATGGAAGATAGCCCAATAGTTAAAGATAGAGGGAGACGAAGAGAAACTATAAAGAATCCACTAAAGACATTTAGAGAAAAACATCCTGTCAGATTCATAATAGGAAACTTTTCCTGTTTAAACCACAAAGCCTACACCACCTAGTGGGATAAGGTTTAGTTGTTGTTGTTGTCATCGAAGATTGATCTTTTAATAAAAATGATGGAAAAAACTGATTTATTGTCTATGCTCTTACAAATTCGAGTTTTTGCCTATAAGAATCAAAAGCATGTCTTTGTCGGGATTGTTTGCATGGATCACTATTTGCAAGGATCAACTCTCTAATCTCGATGGTCTATAGGTTAAGATGTGTCTTTGCCAAACCCTTCTTCTGCCTCTGCAGTCTGCTGGCAGCACCAATCATACTCCTTGTTTTGCACCTAACTACTCCGATCCCCCTTCTTCATCAAAAGCATATAAGGTGATGTCCAATTTCTTACTTGTTGTCTTTTTTTTTTGTCTTCTCACCTCTATTTTTATATAGGTGCCCTTTTTTGAATGTGTAGTTACTTTAAGCCTCAGAGGCTTAAACTTATTTCTTTCCTTGACTTTTGTTTCTATCAACTAGTTCATTTATCTCAAGACACATTAACTTCTTATTACTCCCTCTGTTCCTTTTTAAGTGTCATTTTAGCATAAAGCTCTTAAACCAAGATAGTGAATTGTTAGAGTTATTTTTCCTATTATACCCTCATTTATTTTCTCTTTCCATATAAATTCAATCATACACTCTCTCTCTTTTTCAATAATACTTGAGAAAATAATTAATTTGATGGAAAATATGAAGTGGAGTTATTGAGAAAGTAAAGGTATAATTGACAAATTATAACAGTAAACTATAAAAACGACACTTAAATAGAAACAAAAAAATTCTTCTAAAACAACACTTAAAAAGAAACACAGGGAGTATTAAATATGACTATAAGTAACATATAAGTATATAAATAAAAAATATTGCAGCCATCCCACTAAGTTTAGCGGTTGAAATGCTGCCATTATCCAAGATTGATTGCAACAGCACAGGGAAATAATGAACAGAGCATCCAAGAGAGGCGTAATCAAAGCCAGAACACGACAGATCAGCAGACATCTGTTAACATAAATTGGGTGAGCATATCAGCAGAGGATGCTAGTCAGTAGAGGGAGTTCGGAAAATCACCAGCGTCAGTTAGAAGCAAGACCTCCGAGAAGTGGTTGGGGTTGATTCAATAAAAAATATTGCAGCCATCCCACTAAGTTTAGCGGCTGAAATGCTGCCATTATCCAAGATTGAGTGCAACAGCACAGGGAAATAATGAACAGAGCATCCAAGAGAGACGTAATCAAAGCCAGAACACGGCAGATCAGCAGACATCCGTTAACATAAATTGGGTGAGCATATCAGCAGAGGATGCTAGTCAGTAGAGGGAGTTCGGAAAATCACCAGCATCAGTTAGAAGCAAGACCTCCGAGAAGTGGTTGGGGGTTGATTCAATAAGAAACCAAATGAACATGTTTATTTTCTTTATGTTAAAGGTGTGAGGAAGAAAGGTATGGCGTCAAACCCTATACAACAACAACAACCACCAAGCCTGCACTACGTTAATTTCGGGCTACATGAATCAAATTACGCCATAATATTCTATCCAACCTGTTAATCTCGAGATATTTTTTAATAGTTTCTCTTATAGTTTTTTTTAGCTCTTATACATCTAATTGTTTCACGACTCTCCATCTTATCTACGCTCCTTACAATAAAATCCACATGTTTAAATAACAAACAATTATATTGGTCGCAATAGTGGCGAGAAGCAAAAATATGAAAAAATAAGAACCCTACAACCTCAAAAATCATATGCATAAATCGAAAAACTAAAATTTCAAAATTAAAAAAAAAAACACCTGTTGGCAAGACCATTGACAACCACTTCATTCACGAAATAAGAGATAACTCTATGCATAAAATTGCCGCCAGCCATGTTTTTCCTCAACTTCAAACTGCATACATAACATTCAAATATAAAATAAACAAACTAAAAACCCTCAAATTTTCATGTCAAAAATTAAAACTTTTCACGGATTCATCACAAACCCTAAAATTATTCACCTCTAATTATTTCGTCCTACGTTTTTTCAGGGCAAAAATATTGAAAAAGAAAATGAAAAAAATCAAGGATTTTTCGATAACAAAAATCAAAGGTGATAAATGAGAGAAAAAAATTTGGAAATGATGTACATAGCAAACCTTGATGGAATAGAAGGGTTGATCAGAGGATTGTGATGTTGGGGAGGATTGGAGATATTTATCGAGTCGCATTCAAATGTGAGATTCTAGCGTTGAGTTCCGTTTATATACGAGAAAAACGAAGACACGTGTCAAGGTTTTTTAGAAGGATAAAACTTAAATTTCACAATTGTTAAAGGTGTGTCAACTTGAATGACTCCACCATTTTATTCATCTTAATCTTAATGTATGTTATTGGACAAATATTTAAGTGCAAATGAAAAATTAAAAAGTCTCTTAGCTACGAGAATTGCATCCAATATTAAAAATATTAAAGGGGATATAGTAATTGTTTTTAAATTTATTATTTTAGTTTGTCTTCTTTTAAGGAGTTGAGATACTCTCTAGAGAGTTCCATTACTATAGTTTTCATAATATAATGTTACACATTTCTAAGAACTTTTATGTATTATACACTAAAACTTTAATAATGGAGCTCTCAATTTCTCTTAAGAAATTGAGAGGATTTCATCTTTATTAAGGGGTTCAGGCCCATTAATATTTAAGTGGCTTTTCAAACTGCGTTCAAAGACTCTAGACCCACCCAACCGGCTCATCATAAGTTTTAACTTAACACCTCTTATATGTTATATCTGACACCCTTAATTTTTTTATTTCTAAAATGTTCATGCTATTATTTATCTCTAAAAAATTTATATTTGTCAAAAAAATTTACTATTAGTTAAGAGGGTGAAATAGTAAGTTTCTGGTACAAAATTTTCAATACCAAAATTATGTATTTACAAGAATTTTTTTGAATTTCAAAAATTTCCGGGGGCGATTTACTGGAAATTTCAAAATTTCCAAAGCGATTTACAAAAAAAAATATAACAAATTTCGGAAATTTCAAAAATTCCTGGTACGCCGCATAAAATCGGAAATTTGAAATTTCGCATATACCTGAAATTTTTGGTATGTCTGCAGATGAAATTTTATATTTGTATGGTCCAGAATCGGCAGCTTCAGCTTCTTCTACTGATTCATGTACGGATTTTATGCAGTTCTTCACCACAAATACCGTATGTTTCCTATTGAATATATACATTTTTATTTGTTTTCCAACATTTATTAAATTGATAAAGCTTACTAATTTTATATTGTAATTAACATATTTTTAAATCCCGATCTAAAGTTTTAGAATGAGTACAGTCTATTGATAAAAAGCATGGTATTATTGTTGTTACAGTTCGTTCTGATTCAACTCATAGAATGCGAGGGAGGAAGGATAAATTAATTATGGGTTGTGAGCGAGAAGAAAATTACAAAAGAAAAAAATACATCTAAAAACACCTCCATTGACATTTATACTATGAAGGTTATATGTCTGTTTAGGATAGGATATGTTCCTAGTGGTATAGGTTGGAAGGTGGTTGTTAAATGTGGGATGCACAATCATAGACTATACAAAAATTTGGAAGACCGTGACATATTAGGATGTCTAAAAGATTATGGATGAAAGTTTGTGAATAACATGACGAAGTACAGTATGGCTCTAAGGTACATCATTTCTGTTTTAAAAGACAAAGATCTAGAAAGTCTCACGAGTATTACCCATGTATATAAAGCTAGAGAAACATATAGATTGAACAAGAGAGGTGTAATGACAGAAATGCAAATGTTATTGAGCCTTATTCACCAAGAGAAATACATGTGTTGGACTAGAAGAAGGGAGAAGTCAGATATTTTAGCTGATATCTTCTGAACACATCCTGATTCTGGAAAGTTGTTGAATATGTTTCATATGGTGTTAATTTTTTATTGCATGTACAAGACAAATAGGTAAGTACTTTACTATTCTCGTCCTAAAATATGTTGTAGATGTTGAGTGAGCTGGTTGGTTATGTGCATTTTAATCGTGCAGGTACCGGATATCACTGTTGGAGATTGTTGGTGTTACTTCAACGAAGTTGACATTTTCAACTGCCTTTTCCTATTTGGAGAATGAAAAGGAGGAGAACTTCACATGGGCACTAGAGAAGCTCAAAGAGTTGTTCTGTTCAGAGAAATTGCTACCAAAGGTTGTGGTGATGGACCGGGAACTTGTATTAAACAACCTGGCCGCTCAATTATCCCAAACATTCTCTGTTTTCTCAATCGATTGCTTAATCTTTCTCTGCTAAACTTTCACTCACACTACTTTTGTTTTCACGATAAATTCTCCATTCCAAAGAAAAACAACACCAACAACTTTATTCTACTCAATCGGTTCATCCTCACGATTTGTTTCTCAACTATCCTCTTATCATCTTCATCTAACCGAAATAACAACAACTATATTTCTCCATCCGAAAACCATCTCAGCTTACTCTGTTCTATTTCTATTCATGATACTTCCCTCCCTTGTTCTAAACCGTGAAGAAGAAAAACATCAATAAAACCGCTTCACAAACTTTGTTTTGACTTTACCGTTCAAATCCTCCGTCTTTACGACTATGATGTTATTCCAAAAATTTCGGTTTAGATTTGTTTTTCACAGTTTATCTTAAACTCTCACAATTAATAAGAACAATAAAAAACTAGAAACTCATAAAATTCATTCGCATGATAACAACAATCATTCAAACAGTATTCAAGCAATTGTTCAAGAGATATGATGCACGGAAAGGAGAAACCAGAAACTAATCCAATAAACTGAATCATAAATGCAAAAACCAGATAAAAAAACATACATATATCTATCAAAAAAACACAGGTACATCCCACCCTTTACACTAAATCAAACTGAACAAACTGCAACAGAGTCAACATAAATCTCAATCACAATCGAAATCATGTTAAATAAACTCAAAATCAACAATCACCACTTACTTCAATACCGACAAATCCAGCAGAACGAATATGAATGACATAGAAAGATAAAAACATAAATGAATTTCAAGACGTTACTAACCCTTGTTACCGCGAAATACGACGGAGGGAGATCAGAATAGTGAGGATGATTCGCGAAAGATGATGATGAAGATATGGGTGAGTTGGAGAGGTAATGGTTATGTATTGAGAGGAAGGAGTATATTTCGATCTACCTACCCTTTCACCATCGCTCCCTTTCCTTGTTATAGCTACGAAAACCCTATCCATAAATTAAGTCTAGAAGAAAGACCAAATTGACCCTCTTGCCAAGATATCTTCCTATAATTTAATTCTAAAAATAAATATAAACAAAACAAAATTAAATAAAAATACATTTTTTTAAATACAAAATTTGTATAACTTCAATATTACAGTAAAACAAAAAACTTAATTAAATAAGATACATATTTCTTTTTATATTTTTACTAAATGTTAATAATAAAAAAATAAACCAACAAAATCTAATTTTAACTTAAAATTTGAATCATAAATGCATGTTTTTTTATAATGTATGTTTTTTAAATGGTTATGTTTTTTTATAATGTATGTTTTTTTTATTCATATTAAATTTTATTTTAACTCTAAATAGTCTATTATTTGTGTTTATTATTATTTTAATACATTGTCATCATTATATTTAATATATTTTAACTTTTACGTATGTTGCTTCACGCAACATTTTGTTGCTTCACAATGCAACGGTGGTTCCAACTGGTGGACTGTTTTCAACTCCGGTGATAATTTATGAGAAAAGAGGATTACATGTTGTTGAACTAGATAGAAAAATGTATTGCTGGAAATGCTCTAAATAATCCAATAATTTGAATTTAGAAAACATGGATTATAAGTAAGATCGATTTTAAACCGAGAAACTTTGACTTTTTATAACTTTAACCTTTTTTGCGCATTCAGGCGTCATGATGAACATTTCTTGCAAACAGTTAATGAACTTGAGCTTCTGATGATCAGATAATGATAACTGAGACTTGAGAAAATCATGCCTAAAGTTATAGGTCATGTCTTGAGGAAAATCTTGAAGAAGGTATAACTTGAGATTCAGAGATAAAGTTAGTGCTTAGGATTCACAAGATTCCTTGTTGAAGCATTTTGAAGAAAGCCTAACCAATAATCTTGAATTGAAGCACAACAGACAAGAAATCCTGACTTTTATCAAATATAGGGAAATACCCTAATAGTCTTGTAGCTTGAGGACATTCATAATAACCATACTCAAAATCCCTAATTCCACATTTTACTATTTGAAGAAAAACCAGAAGAATCAGATTGTATTTGATGTAATCTCAAACGATTGTGCAACTATGATATTGTTGATCTTTTGAACCAAAGATTCTTTATGAATGAATGTGTGATATGATAATGAAATGAGAAGCCTAAATCAGATACAAGAAGGATATGAAGGCAAATTTCGGGGTGCAACAATACCCTTGAACTTTGTTTGAGAGTTAGGGGGAATGGAAAGAGAGGACTTTGAAAAATGATTTTCTAAAAAAATTAGTGGTGGAAAAACGGATCATGATCCCTCGGACCGACCCTCACACCTGCCAAAAAATGGCGGGTTAGATTGAGATTTAGGATCCGCTTCACCACCGCAACCCACCCCGCATATCTCTACACCCGTCGCAACTCGCTTCACGCACTTGTAGTGTCATCTCGCAAACCACGACTCGATTTTCCACCTTTAAATAAATACATATGGTAATGTATACTAATACATATTCCAATTGGAGATAATATTAAGGTCTCCAACTAAGGTCCCTAAACAAACGCAATAACATATACAGTTTGTTAAATGTATAATTCCTTGTGTCGAAATAGGATGTTGCTCGACACAAGGTGTGTTGAAACACTCAATATGTATGTGTGTCGAATTCGTCTAGATAGTGTGTCGAAGCAGTTGTTTCACACAAATTTGATTTAGTTCCAAAATAGGTATTTTGGGCTTTTATAGTTTTGGGTTTTTTGGCTAAGAGATCAAGCTAACCTAAAGCTATAAATAGAGGGAGTAACCCTTATTCTTGTATTCATTTATTCACATTATTTGCAGTTGTAAGTGATTAAAAGTTTTTCCACAGTTTGTGAGCAGAGAGTTACTCTACAGAAACCCTAATCATTTTCTTCTTAAATTTTTTAATCTTTTCATCGTTATTATGTGAGTGATAATAATCTTATTCATCAAGATTATTAGAAATTCATCATAGGTTTTGATGGATTTCCAACATCTGATATCAGGAGCTCCGGTTGATCGATTCAAGGGAAGAACGACCAAGAAGCGGTCAAGGGAAGAAGAAGAAATCACGATGGCATGAATTATGGGAATGGGAATTATCGAGAAAGTCTTCCAATTCTGAAAGTAGATAACTATGAGAGTTGGTGCAAACAGATAAAATTTATATTCAGGTGTCAAGGTCTTTGGGATCTTATAAAGGATGGATTAGAAGTGCTTGGAGAAGACGCTTCAGAAGAATAAAAGAAAGAACACAAAGAATCGGAGAAGAAGAGTTATAAAGCACTCTTTATAATTCATCAATGTCTGAGTCCAAAAAATTATGAAAAAGTAAGTGATTCAGAATCTGTAAAAGAAGTTTGGGAGATCCTTGAGAAGTCTTCTGGAGGTGCAAAAAAGGTGAGAGAGGTGAGGTTACAAACTCACAAAAGAACGTATGAATTGCTTCAGATGGAAGATATTGATAGCATATCTGATTTCTTCACCGGGGTTACGAAACTAGTGATCGAATCAAGGTATGTGGAGAAGCGTTAACAACAAGAGTTGTTGTTTCAAAGATTTTGAGGTCTTTGGCTCCTAAGTTTGACCACATGGTGGTAACCATAGAAGAATCGAAGGATTCGTCTAAGTTAACAAAAGAAGAGCTTCAAGGGACGCTTGAATCTCATGAACAACAAATGGCGGAAAGAGTTGCAGGAAAGTCGAAGAGTGACATGGCTTTGCAGGCACAATCAACAAAAGAAAGTAAAGACAAAGGAAAGTGGTTCGACAAAGGTAGATGTGGCAATAATAATTTGACTGGAAGAGAAAACCAGTGGGAGGAATTGTGTCAAATCACAAAAGACCCCATTACCAAGGCAACCAAAGATGTGGTGCTGGAGGTAGAGGAAGAGGTGATGGTCGAAGGCCTGACAAGAGTCTCATTCAGTTTTACAATTGTCAGAAGTACGGTCACTATTTTAGTGATTGTCCAGAAAAGAGAAAGAATCAAGAAAGTGATGCAAAATTCACCAAGTATGAAGAAGAAGAGATGATGATGATGATGATTACAATAAAAGATGAAGAAAGATTCAAGGACCAATGGTACTTGGATTCAGGATGGTCATCATACATGTCTGGAAGAAAATATTGGTTTGTCAACTAAAACCCTCAACAAAGAACAAGGTGAAATTTGCAAATGACAGTACCCTAGCAGCTGAAGTTATTGGTGATGTTCTGATTATGAGGAGGGTGGAAAAGGGTCAATAATTTCCAATGTGTTGTACATATCAGGCATGAAGAGAAACTTGCTTAACATAGGGCAGTTGGTCGAAAAGATTTATCAAGTGTCTATTGAAGACAAGATAGTGAGAGTTGTTGATGCAAGAGGAAGGTTAATCTTGAAGGCTCCAATGTCTCTGAATAGAACCTTCAAGATTGAAATTGATGTGATGGAGCACAAATGCCTTGCAGCAGCAGCTAGTTGAGATGAGAGGATGTGGCATTATCAATTTGGCCATATCAACTTCAAAGACGTCTGAGATTTGAAGAGAAGAGATGTGGTTTCAGGATTACCAGAAATCGACATCCAAATGAGGTGTGTGAGGAATGTGTGCAATCGAAGCAACACAAGAACAAATTCCGCAAGGATGCAGGAAGCAAGTCAAAGGCAATCCTTGAACTCGTATACTTTAATGTATATGGACCAATCCAGGTGGATTCAATGGGAGGTAACATATACTTTGTCACATTCATAGATGATTTCAGCCGAAAACCATGGACTTATTTGATTAAGAAGAAAAGTAAAGTGATTGAGGTATTTTCCATGTTTAAATCTATGGTCGAAAGACAAAGTGGTCGAAAGCTCAAAGTTTTGAGAACTGATGGTGGTGGAGAGTATGTGTCAAAAGACTTCGATGCGTTGTGTGAAAAAGAAGGGATTGTGCATGAGATAGTGCCACCATACACTCCACAACATAATGGAACTACAAAAAGGAGGAATTGAACCATCATGAATATAGTGAGAAGTATGTTAAATGGCAAGCATCTACCCAAAAATTGTGGGGAGAAGTTGTGTCGATAGCAACATATATTTTGAACAGATGTCTGACAAAGAAGTTAGAAGGAATTACTCCATAAGAATGTTGGTTTGGTGTTAAACCTAGCTTGAGTCATCTGAAAGTGTTTGGATCTATAGCACATAGACATGTGCTAGATCAATTGAGAAGAAAACTTGATAACAAGTCGAGTGAGATGATCCTAGATGGATATCATTCGACAGG